AAGGAAGGAAGGAAGGAAGGAAGGAAGGAAGGAAGGAAGGAAGGAAGGAAGGGAGGAAGGAAGGAAGGAAGGGAAAGAAAGATTTCAAGACGTTAGAGACTTCCCTGAAGTTAATCACAGCCGGGGAGAGGCAGCGCTGGCTCAGCCGTTAGTGGGGCGCAGCCCAGGCTGTCCCGTCTCCCCCACTTGCAGGCCCTCCTTGGACTCCCTGAGTCCAGTGGCTTCCAACAGCCGACCTCTGACCCGATGGCCTGATGAATTGTTAGGACACAGATGCCCGGGTGTCCCCCAGGAGGTCCTGGGTCAGGGCTCAGAGCCTGGGGTCTTTGCTGATGTGCTGCCGGGTTGGGAATCCCAGCTCTAGTTCAATGTTACCAGGAGGACACTGAGGCCCGGAGAGGGGTGACTTCCCCGAGGGCCACAGCTGTGGCGCTGGCCTGGCGATGCTCCCCCGCCTTGACCCTCCCCTGTCCTAACACCTGAGGAAGCAGAGGGAGGGGAGCCCCCACGAGGCAGACTAGCCGTGGGCTGTTGGCATGAGTGGAAATGGGGAGCTGAGCATTTCAGGTTGTCATCCGGATAGTCACTGTCGGGGAGTGCAAATTTGGCAACTAATGGCTCCTTTGGCACATGCCTCAGCCAGTGGCCCGTGTGGCTGAGGGCGGTAGGGGCCTGATCTCCAGTCGCCCCTTCCCCGAGGGCATGGGAGTGTCCAGGTGCGTGTCCAGGTGTGTGGGCAGCTGGAGGCTTCCCCAGGTGGGGCACATGCTGAGCCGCTCTCCGCTCTCCAGGAAACCTCTGCTCCCCGAGGCTGGGTGACCCTACACGGCCAGGCCCAGGCATCAGAGCGAGAGGCACCCAGACGAGGGTGGGAGCGGGAACAAAGGAGGCGTCAGGGACAGGCCTGTGCAGGTGAAGGGATGAAATGGGGAGCAGGAGGGAGTCAGGAGGGAGGGACACGGGAGCTGAGGCCCCATCAGACATGACTTTAATCACCTTCCAAGGGAGAGAAGGAGAGAGAGCTGGGGCCTCCGGGGCCATAAGGAGGGTGGGGGCGGGTGCCAAGAGGAAGGGGCAGACTCACCAAACTGCCCCTGTGAGGCGGGAGAGCCTGCGAGCTGAGGCGGCGGAGAGAAGGGGAGGGAAGTCCCGGGACACGGGGACAGCCCAGAGGTCGGGCGGCACAGGACGGAGCCGGGCGTGCTCCTCTTGGTCTCACCCCTTCCAGCTGCGAGGCCTCCGGCGAGCTCGGCCAGCTTTCCAGGCCTGGGTTTCTGCATCTTTGTTTATTTTTTTTTAAGTTAGAAAATTCATAAACATACATTTTTCAGGAAATACAATTATTCAAGTCCTTGATATTTCAATGACCGTTCCACCTCATAAGACCTTCACAACATGTGTTCTTTAAGTCCACACCAAGCCGTGCTGACTCCTCCTCAGGCAACCAGGGCATCTCGCCCATTAAATGCTACAACATGCATTTAGAGTGTAAAGGCACTTGAGCCAAACTACATTAAGTACTTGAACAAATAACTTCCAAACACTTAGAAGACAATAATCTAAAAAAACAACACCTTGAATGATCAAACCCCAAAGAACTAAGCCACTGTAACCTAGCAGGCTGCTAATGGGTCACATGTCCATGTTGAAACAGCACAGAATCGTCAATGACTTTATTTCTCACCTGCAATTTCTAAACATGATGGTGTCTGCACCTTTAACACCCCTTTCTTCGCGGGGGCTTGCCGGTGAGAGGAGACGTGCCGGCACGTAAGGGTGCCCAGAGGTACAATTGTGCCCCTTCTCCCCTCGTGCTGCCGGGAGCCCAGGGCCCAGAGCAGGGGTGTTGACAAGGGGTGCACAGAGGCTGAGTACACTTCCAGGGTCTCACCCCAGAGCTGAGGAGGGGCCGTTCTCGCAGCACAGCCTCCGGTCCAGGTCCCCCCCCCCCCCGAGAGCCGCTGTGTTCTGGGGTCTGGCCCTGCAGCACGTGCTGCGGGAGCAGCGTACAGCGAGCATGTCAGACTCAGAGGCTGACACGGGCCCAGTAAACAAGGTAGAAGTGTGTGTGGCCGCAAACAAACAACAGCTTCAATTTTCATAGAAACGCAGGTTTATTTCGATAGACATGCTGAACACAAAGGGCTGAAATAAATGAGTCATTAACATAAAATAATAGAACACTTTAATAACAATTAATTTGAACATGAACTTACCAGACACTGAATAACCACACAAATTAATAAGCGTAACGCAAATAAACCTATTTTTCTTGTTCTCTGAAAGCGAAATATTTCCTGTTGCGCACACCAAACAAGTCAGTCCAAGACTAATGACATGGCCATCAGCTGCTAAAATATTCGCTGCTAGTGTTAGTGGAGAGAAATGGTGCGCCTGCGCGTAAGGCGCATAAGGGAAATGGATGAAACACGATTATAGTCATCGGTCATTAGCGAACGTTGTAGTTCGTTATTAATAGTTATGTGTGGTGCTCACTTCAGCAGCACATATGCTAAAATGGGAACAATACAGAGAAGATTAGCATGGCCCTGCGCAAGGATGACACGCAAATTGTGAAGCGTTCCATATTTTAAAAAAGAAAAAAAATTATTATGTATAACAGGATACTGCAAAACTTTAGTTATGACATTTTTATTCATACCATTATACTGGCTGGGCCGCAAAAACATTCATGGTGGGCTGCATGCGGCCCACGGGCTGCGAGTTTGACATGCTTGATGTACAGCTTCCTAGCGTCCCAGAGAGATGAGATGGCCTCTGCACCAGCTGATGCTCCCGCCCCGGCTGCGGACAGCACATCCCCACTTCTGCCTCTACCCTTTCACAGTTCAAGGCCAGCCACCCCCCTCCCCAGGGCTGGCAGACACCCCTCTGCACCTCAGCGAGCCCCACAGTCCCGCTCTCCCTCAATTACAGGATGGGCTCCCCGGGGCGGACTCCCTCTGCCCTTGGCCTAGGCTTTTTTTTTTTTTAATAGTTTTTTATTGATGTCAGAGAGGAAGGGAGAGGGAGAGAGAGAAACATCAATGATGAGAGACAATCATGGATCGGCTGCCTCCTGCACACCCCATGCTGGGGGTCGAGCCTGCAGTCCAGGCATGTGCCCTGACTGGGAATCGAACCCTGACCTCCTGGTTCATAGGTCGACGCTCCACCCCTGAGCCATGTGGGCCGGGGGGCCTAGGCTTGTTGACACATTTTCTTAACTTCATCGGACCCTTCTTCCTCTGTGGTCAGTGCCTTCTTCCTGCTCTTGGCCAGTGAGTCCACACTGTCCTTGCCTCACCTGCAGGCCTCGACACAGCCTCGTCCCCCCCTGCCCCCGAGGCCCCGCACCACTGCTCCCTCCAGACACTGGGCTCCTCGGGCCTCTGCCTTCTCTGGTCAAATCGTCTCCCGCTCACCCCTTTTCCCACCTCCATTCTGGTGTCTCCCGTATCCTCCAAGCCTCCACGATCTATTTTGCATCTTTAATCTAAAGAGTGGTCGCCAGCCAGTGGCCTGTGGGCTGCTGATGGCCCGTGAGGTCCGAAAGGCTGGCGACCGCTGCTCTAAAGTGGTGGCCTCCCCGCCTGTCTGTGCACACTTCGCCCTGTGTCCGGGCAGTGTACACATCGCACCTGGAGCCAGTCCACCCACACAGGCTGGCTCACCACAATGTCACCTGACCATGCTGCCCACGGCCCTCGCTCACGGTGCCCCGCTGGCCTGCCTGGCTCACTGTCCATGGAAGGTGCCCTGGCACCTGCTGAGAGCTTCCCTTTCCTGATCCCGGGACCCCACAGCCCCTGGAGGCAGCCCTCTTCCCGCCTCCATGAAAGGTGGGGCGTGTGCACAGGGGAGCTGTGAGGGCCCTGCCTGCAGGTGACAGGGCCTGGATTTGTCTTCCGATGCCAGTCCTGTGCTCTGGGCGGGTCCCTCCTGGATGCCCCAGGCCCAAGGCTGAGTGCACACTGCTCGCACTTTTATTCTCGGCTCTCCTGTCCGTCAGACCTTGTGTGGGGGTGGAGGGGGAGAAACTCAAGGCCAGCTCCTCCATTCCTGAGCCAGCAACAACGCTCAGCGCCGTGGGGCAGGCCTCCCCTGCCCCTTCAGCCTGGGACAGACAGGAATTCTCCAGGGATGGAAAGCCGCCTGGGACGGGCCCCGTCCAACCTCGTGGTCCCTTCCTCCCAGCTCGATCGCCCACCAGGCCCAGACTCCATGGGGCCTCCAGGCCAGGGCTCGGCCGAGCTCCACCCCTGAGAGCATGAGGGTTGAGCCTGCTGTGCATGGGGCTCGGCCTGGGCCCGCTGCCTGGCCTGTGTGAGGCCGCTCCCTGCGCTCTGTCTTCCTGCCCCTGTGTCTGTGGCAGTGGCTTCTCCCCAGCTTTTCTCCAGAGCCCAGCCAAACCCCGCACTCCCCTCCCCTTACTTGCCTCCTCCCGCAACCACGCCCAGCCCTGGTGAGTGTGTCCCTGCCCCGGGTCTCCAGCACATCGCTGGCCGGGCAGGTGCATTCTGAGAGGAACTAGAGTCGCAGCTGGAAAGCCCAGCCCTCGGGCACCCTTTCCAGACCACCCGGGAGCGCTCCCCACCTCGGCCCACGGCCGGTGTCTGCAGTGGTTCCGGCCCAGGTGTGATGTGTGGAGGTCCGTGGCTGCTCGGACTCCAGCCGATAGAGACACATTCCCGGCCGTTTGTGGCGACTTCATGCTCCTAGAGAGATGGCTGCAGAAGGGGTGGCTCTGCATGTAACGCCCAGGGAGGGGGGACCTGGTGCACCCCAGGCTCTCAGGTGCCTGTTCCTTCTGCCTGCCTGCCAGGTGGGGACCGGCCACCTACCCCCGAGCGGGAGGGGCTTGGAGAGCACCCTGGGAAGCCCTCAGGCCCGCCAGCTGCCCGTTGGCTCAGCTGAATGGGGCCGGCCTTGCTCCAAGCCTCCCCTTCTGTCTTGGTTGTAGCTGCTTTTCAAAGTGAGATCTTTTTTCCCAAAGGGAAGGGACGTACGGGTAGGAGAGCTCATGTCCCAGCACATTCCCGATACATCCTCTTCCCAGCGCACCCCCGATCTCAACAGCCTTGATCTCCGCCTGGTCAGGGGCCCCTGGAACCTCTCCTGCTCCCTCTACCCGCCCATCACTGCCTCACACACAAGCCTCTTCCTGCCCAGAATCAAGTTTCTATCTTGTCCACAGGCAGACGGCACCCCCTTGTCCGTGAGCAGGGTCACAGCTGTGCCTGCCCGCCAGCAGCGGGTCTGGCTCCAGCTCGCAGCGCAGGCCCATGTCAGGCCCTGAGAATGTGCCGCCTGCTGTGCCCTGGACACTCCCTGGACTGGGCTGGGTCCCCACCTTCCCGTAGCTCTCCTCCCTCTTCCAATGGCCCCAGGCCCACTGGCAGGAGTAGGGACTCCATACCTGGGCCTCCCTCCTGCTCACCTTGGGTGGAGGGCCTTGCAGAGGCTTAGCCCTGTGAAGACAGGGCTGGGATGCTCGACCCCACAGATCCGGGTTTTTGGAGAGAGTGTTTCTGGATCCTTGGCCACTGGCCCGGTGCCTGGCCTGCGTGAGGTCTGGGTGCGGGTTTGCTGAACGAAGGACTGGATGGGTGAGGAGTAAGCCTGTCGACTTCGCTCCTGGGTGGGCCCACTCCCCACTTCTCCCACCGCCCCCTGACGTCTCCTCCCACCCGGCCCTCCCCTGCAGACAGAGCTGTCCCTGCAGAAGGAGCAGCTGCAGCTCAAGGTCATCGAGCTCGAGGACGAAGCAGACAAGTGGCAGAAGGAGAAGGACCGCATCAAGGTGAGCAGCCCCGGCGCCGCTGCCTCTCCCTTCCCCGGCGGAGGCGGACCTCTGTGGGCGGCCTCAGCCCTACACGGACTCCCCACACTGGGTTTTTTCCCGATTTTCCCACTCCCTTTGGCTATTCGCCAATTCCTCTTCTCAGTCGGGGCCAGGGGTACAAGTGGATCTTACCCATCACCTGACACTCATGTGACATCATTCCAGGACAGACAGACTCTAGAACCACCCACCTTCCAATGTCCCGTTGTCTGCTCAGGCCACCAGCTGCCAAAGGCTTGCCATTCCTGGTTCACTGTGCTGGGGAGGTTAGATGCCCGTGTGCCATGGTCTGAGTCATTGCAGACCACATCTGACCCATGACCCTGCCACATACACATCCATCAGTTCACTTTCTGGTGGTGCTGGGTCCTGGTTGAGGTTCCAGGGAGCACAGCCTGGCTCACGGGCACTCTGGGGCCCGCAGCGTTGCCCACCGGGGCAGGGAGGAACGATGGCGGCGGCGGGGCCACCGGTGGATAAGGAACAGCGGCTGTAAACACTGGTCACCTCCATCGGAACTGGCCTTTCTCCATGAGGCCTCCAGGGAGCTTCTGGGCCAACCAGGCTCTCGGGTGGGAGCGACCGGACTCTGTGCTGGAACCTAAAGGCCCAGGGAGGTGTCAGTGACTGACGCCTCCTCCCTTGGCGCCCTCGCTCCGCCCCCAGAGCTTCACCACCAACGAGAAGGCCATCTTGGAGCAGAGCTTCCGGGAGCTGGTGAGGGACCTGGAGAAGCAGAAGGAGGAGGTGCGGGCCGCGCTGGAGCAGCGGGAGCAGGACGCTGTGGGCCAGGTGAAGGTGATCGTGGACGCCCTGGACCAGCGGGCCCAGGTGCTGCAGGAGGACAAGCAGACCCGGGAGCAGCTGCACAGCATCAGCGACTCGGTGCTCTTCCTGCAGGTGCCAGGAGCCCCACATCCGCCCCTCACCTCTCCCCCGCCTTCTAGGCCTCACTTGTCATCCATCCACCTTCCCAGGCATCCATCACTCATCCATCCACGCTCCAGTCCACCTCTCCCCTTAATTCTCCCACCCAAGCCCTTTCACTGCCTAATCCAAGGGTGGCACCCAGTGCCACCTGGCACCCTTGAGCAGTGCTCCCGCCCAGCAGGAAGGAGCTCTGTGATGGATTCGTGATGCCTGCTTGGGCTGTGGAATTGTGGCAGAGAAGTGTTGCACAGTTGTTGTCCTGGATCTTTTTAAAAAATTTTTTTATTATAGTATATATTTTTATTGATTTCAGAGAGGAAGGGAGAGAGAGAATCATTGATCAGCTGCCTCCTGCACTCCCCCCACTGGGAATTGTGCCCACAACCCAGGCATGTGCCCTGACCAGAATCAAACCCAGGACCCTTCAGTCCACAGGCCGACTCTCTATCCACTGAGCCACACCGGCCAGGGCCAAACTCTTCCATTTCACGGAAGAGAAATGGGCTGTTTAATAGCAGCGCTGGGTCTAGCCCCGGCTCTTCTTGCTCCGGTGTGGAACCTGCCAGCTTCACTGTGACAGCCCTGAGAGGGCTCCCCCACTTCCAAGACTCCTCCCCGCTCCCCCCCTAAGGGCTGCTTTCCCTCCTTGCAGGAATTTGGCGCTTTGATGAGCAATTACTCCCTGCCCCCGCCCCTGCCCAGCTACCGTGTGCTGCTGGAGGGGGAGGGCCTGGGGCAGGCGCTGGGCAACTGCAGGGACGACCTGCTGAACGTGTGCATGCGCCACGTGGAGAAGATGTGCAAGGCCGACCTGAGCCGCAGCTTCATCGAGAGGAGCCACGCGGAGAACGGTGGGTCCCTCGCGGGCGACCCGCGGCCGTGGCACTTTCCTCTCAGTCAGTCCTGGCTGCCTGTGCGGCTGCACCCACCGACGGCCCCTCGTTGTCCCCAGCCACCATTGCACCTGCGGTGTTGGTACTAGGATTCCGGGAGTGCAGTCCCCATTGAACTTGCTGCCAAAGGTAGGCAGCCTCTGCAAGGGGCCTCGGGGCAGGGGCCGCCGGGCCGCCGGCTCCCACATGTCTCCCTGTGGTCACCCGTCAGGCTCGGGCGCTGCATCTGATGCCAGCCCAGTCCAGCAGCTGGGTGGCTGCTGCCCCTTCTTTTTTAAAAACTATTTTATTGATTCAGAGAGGAAGGGAGAGGGAGAGAGAAACATCAATGATGAGAGGGAATCATGGGTCGGCTGCCTCCTGCACGGCCCCCACTGGGGACCGAATCCACGACCCGGGCATGAGCCCTGACTGGGATCGAACCGTGACCTCCTGGTTCGTAAGTCGACGCTCAACCCCTGAGCCACGCCGGGCGGGCTGTGCTGACGCTTGTAAGGCTCTGCAGACCTCAGGAGGTGGGCCTAGAGCCGCACCTGGGCTGGAGAGAGAGCCTGCCCGTCACCTGTGCTGAGTCCTCTGCGCTCAGAGGCTGGGCCGGGCCTGGGGGCCAGCGGGGCCAGCGGGACACAGCATGTCCTGGTGACTCACAGCTCTCCTGACGGCAGCGTCTCTTCTGAATCATGAAACATCAATGATGAGAGGGAATCATGGGTCGGCTGCCTCCTGCACGGCCCCCACTGGGGACCGAATCCACGACCCGGGCATGAGCCCTGACTGGGATCGAACCGTGACCTCCTGGTTCGTAAGTCGACGCTCAACCCCTGAGCCACGCCGGGCGGGCTGTGCTGACGCTTGTAAGGCTCTGCAGACCTCAGGAGGTGGGCCTAGAGCCGCACCTGGGCTGGAGAGAGAGCCTGCCCGTCACCTGTGCTGAGTCCTCTGCGCTCAGAGGCTGGGCCGGGCCTGGGGGCCAGCGGGGCCAGCGGGACACAGCATGTCCTGGTGACTCACAGCTCTCCTGACGGCAGCGTCTCTTCTGAATCATGCTCCACCCACAGAGGCCACTGAATAACCTTCCAGAAAGCCCGACCCTGAGAACTACCCTGCCGAGCCCCGCCCCTCCCCGCACCCCCATCCCAGCCCAGTCGCTTTAGGGCCCGACGCCTGGGCACTTTCCCCACAGCCCCGTCTGGTCCTGGGCCCGGCCCCGGCCTGGGGACACCGCCTGACGAACAGCTTCTGGCCCCAGACACCCGAGGAGGCGCCAGGTGCAGCCTGTGCATTGTGGGGTGTGCAGAGGGGCCAGGCCCAGCGGGGCCCTGCGTGTCTGGGTGGTGGTGGCATCACACGGTGTCCCTCTGAGGACTGGTGAGCCATGGCAGCCAGACGAGCACTTGGCCTCCGCCCGCTCGCCACCCCCAGCATCTGAGCTCCGGGCAGCTGTGGGCGTCTCCCAGGCCAGGGCCGAGGCTCAGGGAGCAGCTTCTCACAGGCAGCCAGCTCTCCGCTCTGACCCACCCCCTCTCATCTCCTCCGAGAAGGGCTGCTGGCGCCACGCGGAGGGCGGGAGCGTGTGGTGGCCACGGCCCCTGGGTGCCCACTTGGGGGAGGTGAAGATGGCCTGATGGGCCCAGGTGGCCTGCCACCCACCCACTGGCCATTACTAGGTCACGGTTGTGTCGGCCACGGCCTCTGTGCAGGTGTGGCCTGTGCCCCCGCGGGTGTGGAGGGGCGGCTCCCGGGAGCAGCGACGGTGCCTCTGACGTCAGCAGCCTGCACCTGTGCCCGGGGCCCTGGCCTCCCCGTTGGTTCTTGTTGCGGCCACAGTGTTGCTGGGAACGTGTTTGGCTGTGGGAGGCGGGGAGACCCTAGTGACCGTCCTCCTGCCTGAGGCCGGCCGCCCACAGGCCAGGGTCTCACTCTGCCGTCAGAGGCCTGCGGGCTGTGGGCACCAGCCATCTTCATCCTGGGCTTGGGGAAGGGCTGAGCCACACCCAGGGGTTGTCATGGATGCCTCCTGCGTGCCAGGGCTGCTGGGCACAGGTGACAGGTGCAGAATGAGGGACGAGCCACTCTTCCCTCCTCTTGCCCGAGATGGAGGCCGCGGGAAGGGCAGGGGAACACGGGAGAGGGAAGGAGTGAGAAGAGGGAGTGGGAAGGAGGGGGCTGGGAGGCAAGCGTGAGCCACACATTGGTTTGGGTTTTGAGGAGTGAGGGGCGGG